CCCCAAAACCCCAAAACCCCAAAACCCCAAAACCCCATATGATTTAAATTGAAATGGATTAGACATTAATAGTTAATTTGAAAAGGAATAAATTTAAATAATCGTGAAACTATCTAATAGGTAGCAATGATCAGAGTGAAAAAAATTAAACTCCATAATGGATTATTAATCAAAGTCTAATATACTTGGAAGAAAACTTCATCTTGAAAGTTCTTATTTGTAAGGTATTTAAATTGAAATATCTTCGGTTTGTAATGAATACTATCCGACTACCACCGCTCTTCACGTACACATAAAGTAAAGTGAGTGAGAGGGTGACCGTAAGTGAGTTCAAGACATATCCCCAGAAGAGAATTAATATTTGCCATTAATAATTGACTGCGCTTAAGTGCTTACATCACTGAATTCGTGTCCTTGTGCCGCTGTACCAAGCTATTTGAGCTTTAGCAGCATTCCTTCATCCTGATTCCATAAAGTCTGGTTTACTCCTCCTCCAGATACCATTTAATGGATAATATGCTCTATTGTTTGGTTTAGATCAGACAAATTATCGTTTGTGTTGGCAAGGTTAAGAATTTAATCAGTTACCTATTGACTATTATCAGCCCTTGTGGTCTGAGATCCTTGATAATATTCCTGATCAATTATTTTGTATGCTTCAGGCTCAATTTCCAATGGATTATGGTTCAAATCTTGATGAGTTGTATTTAATTGGTCATCAAGATTGTAACCTTCCAAAATGAGAGGTTGGTTAAATTTGTTGTCGCTAAAGTTAGGGGTGCCATTTTCCAGCTTGAATTCAGCTGATTAGCTACAGTCTTAATTGATTGAAGCATTGTTAGGATTTTAAATGAAGAAGGATTAGGAGAGTTAACTAGTAGATTGAGTGTCTGGGGTGGTTCTTGGAAGGATGACTTGGCTAATATCGATTTCGACGCTTCTTAGTTTGTTTCTTCTTGGGAGATAGTCTATTTGACGCTTACCGCGGTGCTATTGTTTTGATTAGATCTATTTGACTTTTTCTTAAGCATATAGAACATAATCAGTGAAGGTGTAGTCGCTTTCAATACTTGGCTTTTTAAGCACTTTGACCGGTTAGGCTTACTTAGCGACCACAGCAATTGGTTGTGTGGGTTTAAGTTGTTTTAATTACTACTTTTCAATGCAACATCTTTCCTAAATATTACCCATTAAGAGCAAAAATCTAATTTTCTATTATATTTTTAATGGAGTCAGGCATATTTATTATAATTAAGAATCTTATTAATGTCGCCCAGCCAATCATTTCAAATATGATTATTCATCATTCGATTCTACGTCTATTGATATAATGCGGGGTTTTGGGGTTTTGGGG